GGGGGTATTTTATAGTTTCAGTGATTAGAAATCGGTATTATACCATACCTCTTGGTCATCTAAATGGAATTTATTCAGGCAAGCAGTTCATTTCACGAGAGCTCATTCGGAGCCTTTCTCTAGCCATGCAGGTATTTAATTTAATTTGAAATTTTTCGCGTTAAATCTTGTTGGAGTAGAGGCTAATATCTTACTATGGTTTGACATGGTTCCCAAAACACAAATTTGTATTTTTACGGCATTCAGTCAAATTAATAAAAGTACTTCGAATAGACCATAATCCAATTCGTTCTTTAAACTTACTCGTCAGAATGAGTCTTCTTTTTTTCTCATATTATTACCTACGCATACGGGCATAGATATAAAGGCTTATATGCACATATTTAAATGCTTAATGCTGCAATATTTGATTTGACTGAAATCTCAGCTACCCCTTATACATGTAGAATGCACACCAGGGGCCCTCAGGTATATAGTAACGTTAACACTGTCCGTCAATGAAGTCCCTCACTTAACAAAAGAGTTTTGGTTAATTTCTTTTAACACTACACACTCGTGATTTTGGCAACGGCTTGCTTGCATCGTGTTATGTTTAACGCCTTGGGGTACGTGATAGACTTACCTCCACGTGATGCACCCTGGGCAACGTATACTCATACGGCAAAAAAGTCTATTAACTGGCAGTTGACTTCTGGCGCAGTACTCATCCTACCTTTTCTCTGCCTTTATGTCCGTCTCTTTACATCTGTGAATCGCTCTTCTGTTCCCCACCCCTCGACTTTCTTCTACTTTGATGAACCTTCCCTCTGTGAAGCCCGAAGTCAGCTAAAGGGTTAATGATAACTATCAAAACGCCTGCCATTTGATATAAATAAATAAATACTTTTAAAGGATTTTAGTTAACTACGCATTCTGATAACATTTTTTTCGAAATAAATTTAATGGGTTGATCATGTTTTAAAATTCAAATGTGGATTGTTGAGCAAATTATTGCCATTAATATGTATCTCCTGTCAGTTCACTTTGTTTATTTGCTTCTAGAAAACCCAGTAATTGAAATTAGTTTAGATTTTCATACGCAGCTTATGCTGTGTTAAAATATTAAGGTTCACCTAGTGTCACTCAAGGTGAACTTTTGACAAAGTATCTACTTGAACTATTTAAATTCTATTATTTCTACAATTATATGATCCGTCTCTTCCATAACGGCTAGGAGCCCTACTTGAATATTTTTGTTATATTCGTGGGAGCCTCACAATCTTCATCCCTCATGAACTTCCACGCTCCCACCTGGATATACAATTTCACCTTTGGAAAATTCATAACTACAGCTATTTATCGCGTATTCAAATCTCCAAAATTATGTTTTTGTTAATTAGAAACTGTCATATGAGCTAGTGGTGGTTTCTTGTCTGCTACTTGAGTCTAGACTTTAATAAAGGGGTGTAATGAAGAAGTAAAACTTGTTTTACCTTAGTCTCCTTGGTATAGTTTATTTTTTAGACGTCGGAGAGATTGGTTCTATCTCTATTTCCCTTGTTGAACCCTGAAGCAGACTCGAAATACATCGCAAATGATTATAAATTACGTAATCAGGGAACGCTTAGCAATAAGTTTGCAACGTTGTAGCATTTTCACTTAAGTTTAAGAAAGTAAATATGAGTTTGCAGTTTATCTTTAAAGATAGCACAGTAAATATTTGAAGTTGACATGAATCTCAGTTATTGCAGTCAAAAGGCTCTCTAAATATGCATGTATATGAAACAACTTATCCATGAAAACAAATTTCTTAGAAATTGACTGTACAAATGCAACTTCAAAACAAGATTTTCCAAATTTGAAGCGTAAAACATTAAGAAATGTTAACTCTATTCGTACATTTTCATGATACAAACGTATGTGTCGAAATTTCAATTTAAATTATTTCCTTAGTAAATTTAACTAAAATTACCCCCAAGAATTGCCTTATTTTACTTGAATTTCAGCAAATCTCAAAATAAAGTTTCAACAAAACAGATTAGCATCACGTGTTCATGACTCTCGATTACGATTGGTTAAGAAGTGTACCAATGAGAACAGTAGGCTTGCGAATATGACCGATTTAAGGACTTCTTATTGGTTAAGCAATAAATTATGCCTTTTAACCTTAATAAACTTCCTATATAAGCTGTAGTTGAAGCTCTATAACAAAAGTGCAACCGACAATGGTGTCTGTACCTAGCGGAATCTCGGACAGAAAGTCACTGCTCAATAGGTATCTCCAATTGCCTCATGAAAGTTCTCAATTTTTGGCAACTTATGTTTGGATCGATGGTTCTGGGGAAAATGTCCGTTGTAAAACCATGACTCTGGCTGAAGAACCGAAAGTTGTCAAAGGTGAATACCTTCCACATACATTGAACATTTACAATTCAACTGAAACATCTTATTTTTTTATTGTTACTTCTAGATTATCCTATTTGGAACTTTGACGGTAGTAGCACTGGCCAAGCTGAAGGATCAAATTCTGATGTATATCTCTACCCAGTGGCTATTTTCAAAGATCCTTTCACCCGTGGGAATAACAAACTGGTTCTTTGCGAAACTTACACTTATGACCAAAAACCCCATGGTGATAAAACCCGAGCTATATTTTTTTCCATTTATTTATGATAAAGGAATAAATGACTATTCGATTTTGATAGCCAGCAACAAAAGACGCGAATGTGAAGAAGTTATGAACCTCGTGAAAGCAGAACGTCCCTGGTTTGGCATCGAGCAAGAATACACTATCCTCGATGTTGATCAGTACCCACTGCAGTGGCCAAAGAATGGGTACCCTGGGCCTCAAGGCCCATATTACTGTGGTGTTGGTGCAGACCGCGCTTTTGGTCGTGATATTGTCCTCGCTCACTACCATGCATGTCTCTACGCTGGCGTCAATATTTCTGGTACAAATGCAGAGTGTATGCCTTCCCAATGGGAATTCCAGGTTGGACCCTGTGAAGGAGTCGAAGCAGGAGATCATTTGTGGATCGCTAGATATCTCCTTCATAGAGTAGCTGAAGATTTTGGTGTCGTTGTTTCTTTTGATCCTAAGCCCATGAAGGGTGATTGGAATGGAGCTGGTGCCCACTGCAACTTCTCAACACTATCTATGCGTACCCCTGGAAAAGGCATTGAGTAAGTACCACTCACGTATGCACACCCCCCCCCCCCCCCCACCCAAATTTGAATTTTGAGTTAAGTTTTAACGAAATCGCCATTGTGTTTTAGTGCAATCACATCAGCCATCGACAAATTGGCTCTAAACCACGAGGAACATATTAAACAATACGATCCGCGCAGTGGTGAGGACAACAAACGTCGTTTAACTGGACGTAATGAAACTAGCGCTATCGACGATTTCTCATCGGGTGTTGCAAATCGTGGTGCTAGCATCAGAATTCCTCGTCAAGTTAGTGAGAATGGTTACGGTTATCTTGAAGACAGAAGACCTTCTGCTAACTGTGATCCTTACTCCGTCACTATGATGCTGGTTAAGACAACGTGTCTCTAAACGTATAGCAACCCTCACTCTCCTAATTTGCTTGTCATACAATCACTCACCAGTCTTGTCTAGTTCGATCTTTTGTACCTTATATTTGAATATCCATATAATATATATACTTTGTCTTCAATTGAGCCTCCTTCTTTTACACAACGAATTACTTCCATCTACTTTTGCGAAGATTATCATCGTTTTAAACGCAAAGGGCTAGTTTTTGACGACTTTGCATAGAAATTACTGAAATTAAGTTCCTTTTCATGGGCGTTAGACTTGTACTGAAACCTCCAATGGAATAACAATTAACTATGGTTATCTGTATCAAACCTGTTTAAATAATGAAGGCATAATGGGCAAATTTTCACATCAATATTGAATTTTCATTATTGAGGTAGTTCAAGTCTAGGCAAAAGTTAATTTGTTAGTTGCATTTGTGGAATAAGCACGGGAAACAGGATTGCAGACGTTTAGAGGATTCTCCAATTAGTCAATCAAGGCAACTTCTCGCAACGTTAAGTGAAATAGGCTATAAAACGTTTACAAATTTAAATCTCTCCAGGTTAGAAGGTCAAAACTGCGTTCACATGCCCTATTTGTGGAGGAAATTAATTTGTGTGCGTCGATAACGTGTCAATATTCGGTTTAAATTATGTTGACATTTCGACGACAGTATAGGTTTGGAAAGATGGACATTTTTATTACCGTGGTGTAATGTACCGGACATCATTAGTGAGGCCACATACTGGAAGAGTAGCATGAGTATTGGCGTGGAAGTTTCAAGATTGACATGAATGTAGCTAATATAAATTGACTACCGTTTGGCAATCAGGTGAAAGTTGTACACAGAGGGACATGGCCGTTTACTTCAATTAATTCACTGTTTGTGGGAACAGACTTACTTAAATATTTATTTATTTGTATCAAATGACAGGCGTATTGATGGTTATCATTTGCCTTTTAGCTGACTTCAGCATTCACAGAGGAGAAGGACCATCAAATTGAAAAAATTCAAGAGGGAGGCAGGGAACAGAAGAGTGTTTCAAATTTGTAAAAGGGACAGACACAAAAGTAGAAAAAAAGGAAAGATGAGTGCTGTGGAAGTATTCGAATGTGACATACGGTGGGGTGATGATAGTTTGAAGTCAGAGGTCAACTGCCAGTTGATAGACTTTTTGCCGTATGAGTATACGTTGCCCAGGATACACCACATGGTGGTAAGTCGATCGCACACCCCACTTACTTAAATATGGATACTAATATCAGAAATCTTGACACACGCCCTAACGGGGTTCAATGAAGACAGGCTATAGGATTCCGCGGTCAATTCCTTCCCCTCCCATTCCTACTTGAACTGTTTTTTATTGCTTTTCAACTTAAATGTGGTAACATATTCACTCGTAAGTGTTTTCACTCACTGAATTGGAATATATTGGTCCAATACAACATCACAGGCCTCTATATGACATGAAAGGGTTCAAATTAAGACACGTGCACAGCTGCAAGAGAATAACTTCACAATCATGTGATTGGACGAGTCTGGTAAATAAAGGCTATTTAGAGAGAAAGTTAATGTCAAGAGATGGGACCAGCCTTCACGTGATCTTGAAATGGGTCTACTCTTTGCATGACTAATAACCGTTGATATATACTGTCATGATCTCAATGGTTTCTAAGGTAAACGTCATGGTTGCAAATTACCTGAACTAGGTATGCCAGTAAAGCAAAGTTACTTGTATAATCCGACTGAGTAAAGTAGTGTGAGATATGCGCCTTTGATTTAATTATCTTAAAGGCCACTTCCAAGGTTACCTGAAGGCAAGTCATTTGAGCAAAATGAAGAGGACAGAAGACCAAGGAGTTAGAGAATGTGAAGAGAGCTGGTGGAAAGCGCCATGGTTGCATGCTTAAAGGTGAATAGAAGTTTAACAAATTTACACTTCGTGTGGTCAACTTTAGTTCTTCGTGTGTTGATTAAATTTGGCTAAGTGAACCAATGTGGCGGTTAGGTGAAACAAACATACAGGTCACCTCCGTGTGCTCACTACAATCTTTATGGTCTCTCGACTGAGAATCTTCAAGTTCAACATTTATTTTAAGGACCAGAGACTGATGGCTTGGAAATATAGTCAAGAGATTTTGTTTTACACTGGTAGTTATGGATTTTTAGAAATATTTTCTCTAACGTTTCCCGTAAAATATGCTTGCGTTAATGGGGTGCGCGATAGACTTACCACCACGTGGTGCACCCTGGGCAACGTGTACTCATACGACAAAAAGTCTATTAACTGGCAGTTGACTTCTCACTTCAAACTACCATCACCCCATTGTATGTCATATTCGACCCCCTTCACAGTACTTATCTTACCTTTTCTCTGCCTTTGTGCCTGCCTGACTCTTTCACATCTGTTAATCATTATTCTGTCCCTCCTCTCCCACTTTGATGTTCCTCCTTCTCACTGGGAAGCCCGAAGTCAGCTAAAGGGCTAATGATAACTTTCAA